AAAATATAATATTGAAACAATTTAACATATTTCTACTGTAAAACGTGTTAATAAACCTGACATATTATTTCAATAATTCGAAATAAAAGTACGACGATATTTCAAAATTACGTCATTGTTATGGTCAAAAACGTAACGAATCAGCTAAAAAAGAATTGTTAACATATTGACATTTACATTATCACTGTCGAATAAAAAATTCTTCGACTGATATATTGAAATTTCAGTAAAATCCTTGCAAATCATTATGATTTTACTGGTTTGCACAGGAAATATCAGAACTCGAGTTAGGTAGTAGTAACTTGAAGATAACAGCAACGAAATACAAACTGCTCTGCAAACATGATGTTAGCAAGATGGTACAATGTTTGCAAATAAGCTATACTATTATGGTAACACGTATTGTACTGAATAAGTGATTTCAAGTTGAATCAATTAACATCATGATAAGAGGCTTTAATGAGAATTCCGTAAAGCGCTCCAGGTAATGCGAGGATTATGAAATAAAAATCGACAAAGCAATTGCGTATAATGAGGAAAAGTTCTGTATGGAACATGAAGAAAATCATGATTCATCAGTCTAGAAACATTTAACATATCACTAAACATATTGTACGTTTTATACATATTCTATAATGAGCATGTTGTGACTCACTGATAACTAAAATTTTCACGTGACAGACGACTATAAACCATGCGCTTCCAGGAGATGATATTAAATAAGTATTAACATACATACCTTATCAAATGATCGCCACCCTGCGGGTCGGCACTTGGTTTTTGACGGAATGATGGAAGTTTTCGGTGACTGGATCTCAAAAATCAGTCAAATCGGTCGATGAAGGTTGAAGCTTCGTTCGTGTTGCGACCAGTACCTGCTGTATTCTTTCGCGACCAATTCTCCGTTAAAAGTATCGAGAAAGAACATTCGTTTTGTCCGGTCGTAACCGTTTAGAAGTTACGAACGAACATTAACGCGGCAGTTGGTTAACTCGTAAATCGTATTTAGTTTCGTAAAAAGTCGAAGAACCTGATGAAACCCGCAGAACTTCCCTCCCACGGCACACCATCGAGCAGGAGCTCTCGGAAAGGTTCCTAAATGCATCCAATGCTAAACATATTCGATTTTGTAACTCGAACTTCGAGTTTTAAACTTCGATTATCGTACACAATCGATTACTCGATTTTGAATAAATTGCTGGCGAAATTCAAAACAGTGGAAATTATTGTAATTTATTGACAATTAAAAATAGAAGTCATTTTATTTTATTGATATTAAAGTTAAGTCACTAAATAACCAATCAAATTTTATAAAGTATTGCAAAAAGAACAGAATTTAAATTATAAAGACTTTTTAAATGTACCCAAAAAAAATGGCGTCACTTTCTTTACATTTATATTACATTTTCTTGCTTCAACTGGAAATTTATTTATAATTGTTCCTTAAAGAACTATATTATGAAGTATGTTCGATTTTTCTACGATTTCGTATACCGAACAAATAGTAAGTTTTATAATATTCATGTTATAAACACGCTATAAGTTATTATTAATATCTATATTATTTATGATTGTGATAAAATAAACTATTATAAAGAACTGCTTCTTTAAATTTTACCACTTTAAATACTGTATTATTCGAAAATTAATAATGAAGTATTATTAAAACGAGTTAAAAAAATAAAAACATTTTCAAAAAATTACGTATGTACAAAGTTTGTTCCGCGATTCCAGTACGAATATATAAGAAGGAACAATTGAGAGCTAATACCTTTAAAAGGAGATGAGTATATAAACACGTTAATATAATACATATGCAAATTGATAAACGCGAAAAATGATGTGCAATATTTATTCTACGATATTAAAGTCTGCACTATATTGATATAGGTGGATTTGTTATTTTATCAACTGTTTAAATAACACGTGCAAATACATGTATAAAAATAGAAAAATTTAAATAATAACACAGTGACGTCAATAATAACGTTCAGTGACGTCAATAATAATGTTCAGTGACGTTGCCAGAATAATATCAACAATTGCAGTTCAAAAATGTACACTGCTTTATTTTCTGTTTACAATATATAAAGTTCAAATAGAAATAAAAGATGCATTTTGGTAATAATTTAGTAGGCAGTCCAAGGTAATTACTTTAGACTGCCAATATAAAATAATATTTGAAAAAATAACAGTGTGTAGTCTTTTTTAACTACATATACCATTGTAATAAATATAAATCACATCACGTAGATCATATGTATTGCATATACTCATAATTTAAATATTTTTTACCACATTATTATTAACACTGAAGAACCATTAGGAATCTGAATTATTGTGTCTTCACTGGTGCTGTTGCAGTAAATGATCTTACTACAGTTTTAACCAGCATTACACCACTGAAAAAATATAATTGCATTAAAATTTTTAAATTACACAAAATACAAATATATAGTTTAATTACATAAAGTAATACCTGAGCATAGCAATTATTCCAGCTGGCATTAGTTTTCCACTACTGTAATAACGGAAACCCATAATTCCACCAAGAGCCAGAGTTGCTGCTATAGAAAGTCTAATATTTGTGGGATCTTCAGAAGTTTGATAAGCCCCATAACCCAGTACTGATCCAAAGAGGAGTCCAGCACCCAAGGATGGAATCGATTCTTTAAGAAATTAAGTAATTTTATTTCTCCTATGAAAAAACATTGTCTATTGATTACTCTTAAATGAAGAAAACTGTAAATAAGGAGAATAGATACTGAAGGCAAGTAAGTAGAAACTGTAAGAAAAAAATTATACAAATAATTCCCATTTGATTACTTATTTATAAGAGAAAATAATATTTAATGACAAATAAACTTACGTGCTTTTATATAACCAAATACGCCACCGGCCGCTACTGTAGCGGCATAAACATATCCTAGTACATCAGCAGGCATTTTTTAATGTATGATTATAATCCAATTAAAAAAGAATTTATGTTGTGAAATTTTTGTCCTTACTTAACTAAGCATTAACAAGTCATAAATGCTAAATAGAATGTATTTATCTTTTTGCACATCACTCTTGTAAGCGTAAGACGTTCGTTTTATAGAAAGGTTTTTTTCATTCTTCTGCTGCGACGATTGTTGCGCTATCTATTGCATTAATACTACATGACTATATACCAATGAAATATCGCATCTATGTTGTTAACTTTATTGTTCGATTTAAATCTATTTTTGAACACATTCGGATTAATTATTATGCAATCATATTACTGTAATTAAAATTTAAGACTTAATTTAAAGTTTTGTTTAATTTACTTTGAAATTAAATCCT